AATGTACAAAATGTACAAATGGTTAACATTGTTTGTGTCATATCAGTCAGAAAAGCAGTTCTGGGCTTTTTTTTTTCTAAAAAAGTAAGCTAACTTAGTTGTTATTCTTGGCTGAATAACTTTAGAAGGTTTAAAATGCCCTTTAAAATTAAATATATACACAGTTTGGATTAAATGCTATTTAAAAGCGAAGGAAAACAAGGAAAAGAGGGAAAATTCAAACAAACTAAAAACGAACAATTGCTTTATGCCGAATTACCGCTATTTGAAAGTGTAAGTAAAATGCGCACGCCGCTTTTGCAAATTTCACTGGTATTGGTACCGAATACTGAAATTTTGGTACCATGACAACACTAGGCTGTTGGGTTGTTTATCTTGTTTGTTTGGATGAGTGGGTGTTGGTTTGTCTGTTTGGATGGATGGGCAGATGGGTACAAAGATGGAAGAATGGGAAGATGGACAGATGGATGAGTGCGTACTGGAAGGATGGAAGGATGGACGGGTGGGCGGATGGATACATGGATTGATGAATGGGTACATGGATAGTTTAGTGCAAGGGCGGATGAATAAGTGGATGGGCGATAGGCTTGCCGCATAGATGGTGCTGACGGTGATACTGTTGTTAAGCTGCAACACAGGGGTTACATCACATGCCCAACTCACTGACCCCCACCGTCATTTAGATTTTTTATAGTAATAAAAATCCTATTTGAAAGTGTAAGTAAAATGCGCACGCCGCTTTTGCAAACTATTTAAAAGCGAAGGAAAGCGAGGAAAAGAGGAAACGCCCCTGCCCCCATGGTGATACTAGTATTATCAGTGTTGTCACATGTCGATTAACCGGTGGGAAAATTTCCTCACCGTCACAACCCTAATGGACGAACAGACAGATGAATAGTTTCTCAGAGGGAAATTTAGGTTGTCTCATAGTAATGACACATGAATTACACCAAAACCAAACAATTAAAACACACACTGTTAAAACGGCATATCACAAAATTAAAATATCCGTTTTGGCGCTGTTTAATGTGGAGTGACAGATCGCTGTAGCACCTCAGTTCAACAGACGAGGCAGCATGAGGCGCACGTGAACTGATCATCGCCTCCACATTAATACCACGCAAGTATGTCAATATAATGTCTTGTAAACAATGTCATGTAACGTCACATTTACCTCAGAAATCGGTGACCATAAACTCATTAGTCAGATAGAAAAATAAACTGTAGAGAAGGGCTTTTTGCTAAATATATGCACTATATAACATATTCATTATACATTTTTTTTAAAGATTTACTGTTCTTCAATGTTTATGTTTGAATAAATCCATCTAGTTTTTATGACAGCCACCATTATGTTTATATTTCAAAAAACGAATTGAAGTAGAAATATTATTTAATTGTAACTTATTTTAAAAACTTCATTAAGTGTAATTTTAACAAATCAGTCCAATTTAACCTTCAATGCTATAGTAATGTGTACCAACTGACTCTCATGTAGCCTATATTTTACAGCATTAGTTGAGAGATTTTTTTTTCCTTGAGAAAATTTGGCATGTACTGTACCATATCCAAAATAATCGATATTGAATCGAATCGAAAGCTTGTGAATGAGAATTGAATCGAATCATGAAATTTGTCAAAACCCAGCCCTAATAATTATAAATTTATAATTTCCTTCATCAAAACACATTGTTTTAATAATTTCTGGCTTTGTTTTGCATTACATCCTTAAACCACGAAGCAAGTGAAATGACCACTAGTAGAGGACACATGGCTCATCTTTTGAGCTAGTCTATATTAAGGCCAAGCTTAAGAGATTCACTTTTTCTCAAGAGTGGTAGGGAACAAATCTTGTACCTCATGCACATGGAAACAACACACACATTTGAGGTCATGAATTGTGGCAAGATGTGCTGCCTGTGAGATGGGATTTGAGGTTTAGATGTTCACCAGTCTGTCCCATTTCATCTGGGCGAGCGAGCTGGTTTTTGTTCCATTTTCACATTTATATTTAGAGCAAAAGAACAGCCTGGGCCATCATCAAGACAGTGTGCGTGTCTCTGAGAGCACTAAAAATACTTCCAATAGATTGCTACCTATGTCCTAATGTGGGTTACCCACACAAAATACCATGATATTCTGAGCTAACAGACAAAACCACCCAAATAATGACCACCTGATTGACTTCAGTAGCTCATACTTGTGAAGTCAATCTCCCCTTCATTTCCCAAGGGATGTTATTTTTACTCAGTGGTCAATGAAGACAGACAGAGAGTCAAGAGAATATACCCACTCGCAGGACAAGCACTGTTAATGCCATTTACATCTAAATAACCAATTAGCTAATGCACAAACAGAAACCTTTTCAAGTGTCAAAGGGATGAATGCATTATGACCTTGTCATGAGTTTTGTTACAAACAGTTATTTGATTAAAAATAATAAAAATAAATAGATTAGCATTCTCAAACACAGTAAGTGTAATAATTAGTAAGATTACATGTTTGCCATGGTTTAATCAGCACCATGTGACTAAATAACTTTAAACTCCAAAAGCAGTTTACATAAATTCCTGCAAGCTTTCATGGAGCACCAAAAGTCAAACTAAACATTTTCTCACACAACTGAGGGAACTCCTTAGCTCTTGGTCAAACTCCTGATAAAATGCTGCCTAATGTCACGGTTACATAAACCCTATTCATACACATTTAATTTGGCTTATTACGTGTAGCACAAATTATTGTTTCATTAAACGAGAAAACTCATTTTAAATTTTTAATTGTACCTTATTCAATAACTATGGGTGCGACTGTGGAAAGTACTAGCACACTGACGCAAACTTAAACCTGAGTATTTAACTTAATTAGCATTGAGCTAGTTTTAAATATTACAACGATTTAAATATCTTTTTGTCGTCGTCTTAGTAGAGAAAAGTGTTAATATTCCATATATCATGTCATTTCTCATGTCATTTACAATAATGAAAAACTTAATGTTACCAAATTTACTTCTTAAAAACTGAAGAAGATCTCTGAGCAGTTTGGATACATTTGACCAAACGCTAACATCTCTTATTTAAAAACAAATCTGTAATTTAAAAAAAAAATCTAAATAAATAAGAAATTAGCGTGTTGTGCAGTTGTTGAAACTCGACAACATAGGGAGAAATTTACAGAGAATGGCTCATTCAAATGAGCAGTAAGTCCAAAACAAACTAATTTAATAGAAAACAACAAATTATTTTTAACTGAATTGTATTGTTAATGCAGGGTATTTATTTTAATAGTAGCTCTGTTATTTGTTTGATATGGCTGTGCTAGTTAGCTTATAGCATGTTAGCCACAGATCCACATCCTCGATCTGGATTATTTCAGGAAAACCTTCACATCATAGATCAAATAATTCAATAAATTACACAAACACAAATCTAATCAATTACATATATGTTATATTTACAAACTAACATCTATAATAGATGAAATGACTTTTGTTGTTGTAGAACAAAAGGCTTGATTGAAGCCAGTAAACACACGGAATCAATCCAGTGCTAGAAAAACAGTGGATGCATGGCAACGGATCAACATTAAAAGACAAAAAAAAACACACGACTCCATATCATTGTAGAAACATAATGGTTTAACGTTAATTTACCTGGAGGGGCGGATAAGCCCGTGTCGGGTGGACCGGCGGACGCCATTTTGATTCGGGTTTACTGTCTGGACCCGATCCCTGACCGGAACCAGACAGACAGACTAGTGTCCGGTTCCGCTCGGTCCGACTCTCTGGCACCCTTTACTATAACTTATATATTACAAAACGCGTTTCTAACAACTATCTACACAATCTGTATAGATATTTTATACGAACATCTAATTTATCCAAATGGCAAATTATATAATATCCGCGCTTTATATATAGATACTGACGACAGTCTTGCCTAGTGAAAGTCCCATTAGTTTGTGAAACAAACGCGCCAAGCCTTTATGTACAGTGCTAAAAATAACAAAACTGTTCACAGAACAGATAACATCTTGGACAGGTTGAGCATGCATGACATTTGAAGTCCTTGCACACTGGGAACAAAATAATTGTTTAAATTTGAAATAATAAATCTAAAAAATACATGTTATAATGCATGTTATTTAAAAGTAAAAGAGACAACTCCCTGCTGAAAAAAAATACCCTATGATTGTTGGCTGGTCTTAGCTGGTTTAAGCTAGTCAAGCTGGTCTCAAAAAGCTGTTTAAGTCAGGCTGTTTATGCCTGAAATGTAAGAAAACCACCCCTTCTTTATTACAGTCTATTATAGTATTATAGTTATTATATCGTTGTCTGAATGTGTGTGTTCACACATACACATATATATATATATATATGTGTATGTGTGAACACACACATTCAGACAACGATATAATAACTATAATACTATAATAGACTGTAATAAAGAAGGGGTGGTTTTCTTACATTTCAGGCATAAACAGCCTGAGTATGTGTATATATATATATATATATATATATATATATATATAGTATTTTAAATGTAAATGATATTGTGTGAGAACAACATACAATCACAGAAGACTTTTATTTATATATTATATACATATATAATTATATAAATATAACATATGTTATATTTTTGGGAACAGAGGGGACACAGTGTAAACAAAACATTTTGAACTGTCCAAGCAGTTCTTTTTTTCTTTTTTTTAATGCTGAAAAATGTCTCTTGATAATCTGTAAGACATTTTGCAACAAAACTGCATAAAAGACATAAAATGCATTTTAAAAGACAAACAAAAAGTGGTACAGGTTTGCTTCAACTCAAGTGTACATATATTGAAATGTGTGCGCTCTGTAAAAAAGGATCCACATTCAGAGATCAGATCAGGGATTCTGTCTGACTCAGACCAACAGAAGCTGAGGGCAGTTCTTCCTCCTGCTGTCTTTATCTGCCTTGCCGATATAGCGCAGGAGCAGCTTTGTGGCACATTTAACACGGTTTTTGATTTTGGGTGCACAACAATGAGGCTTCACCAGCTCCTTCACTTTACACATATCATTCAGGTGCCTGTCCAGCTAGAGGAAAATAATACAGACAATTTTAATGTAAAGACAGTGAGCCAGTGATAAGAAAATGTGCATTTTTGCTGTGTTTAATCTTTTAGCCATTCGCTCTCTTAAAAAGAGACTGTTTACAATTACATTTCGATTTATTAAGCATATTTAATCATGCATCAATCCAGCTTGGCCACACTCACTTCACTTCAGTCTTGGCCTTACCTCAGCCTCTATACATGCAGGTCTCTCCTGTAATACTAGAGGGCAGCACCGTTCAACCATTTGATCCACAGAAAAGGGGAACCCCTTCCTGTGGGCGATAAATTAGATTTCAGTTACTAGTTCTTGAAATATTTTATAAATATTTCCATTTTCCAGTACCTACAGTTTGGTGCATGTTGGTAAAACCAAAAATTAAGTTAATAAAACTTTGCAAAATAAAAAATCAGACTTTTAGTTAAATATATATTTGGATTTTCATTGTCCTTGACAATGTTTTGCCATACACAAGGTTAACCACGCCGAGATTCGTTTTTAAACTATCCTTGTTTTGACTAGCGTTCATGGTCAGTGTTGTCTGAAGGGAAATAGATAAACCTAAACAGAGACAATAAAAGCACAAAAACAGCAGCATGGAAACATTTTAAGAGAACAATGGCATGTGTTACTCAACAGAACCTAAAATCAGAATATTCTCACAGTATGAAACACATTTTGAGACACATGAGTTTCTCCAATGGCTCATGCACATACATATTACATTAAAACAGAACACATTTAAAGTAGTTTTACTGTATTTTTGATCAAATAAATGCTTTGGCAAAAAAAACAAAACATTCTTGTGAGTTTATTTGTTAAACATGCAATTTTGAATGAAGAGGGTCTCACATGCTCTGGATAGCCGTATGTGTATGGCATAATGTGTCGAGGGTTGGAGGAGCAGCAGAAGGGCTGAGCTCTCCATCAGTGGATCTATATTCTGGATCTGGAGCAGAAGCTGCAAAACAGGAGTACTGCTCTTCTCCCTTCTTCTTTCCACAACACTCAAACTGCTGTCCTTTGGCTTTCTTCTCATCTTTACAAAACTTATCAACCATCTTCTTCCACTGAAACAGATCAAAAGAGATACTCATGAATATTACTATACTTATGAGCGGGGAAAAAATTCAACAGTTTAATAAGAAAAGGTGATGCCAGTTTTTTCTTTTCAGCTTAAAGGAATGGTTATATTTAGTACTTAGTTCTGATGTGTTTGTTTGTTGATTACGCAAACATATTTTATTTACCAGCTATTGAAAGAGTTCATCTGGAAGTGTTTTCACAAGTTCAGAAATTGTGAATTGAACTGTGAATCATTTGTGATTTGTTTCTCTTCACCTTCTTTTCAGCACAGCGTTGTTCACTCTTTTTCTCCTTACAGCACTGGCTGTATTCTCTCTCGAGGACATTGATGGCCTTCGATTGACGGACCAGCCAGCCGTAGCCAGTGCGAGGAAGACACTTGGGCATGTATCGTGGTCGGATCTTGTGATGAGCGCAGATATGTGCTACGTTGGAGGAATCGGGACGGCCAGGTGGAAAGCTGATGTATGGAACTTCCGACTGCTTCGTGAGTGCTTTTGGAGAAGCCACCAATGAGCTGGATGATTAAAGAGAGAGAGCAATGTTTAAGTATTTATACATTGTCTATTCATTTTTCTTTTCCTCTGTCTCATTTGCAACCCTAAATGTGCTTATTTTCATGGTGGGACGAATGAGTATATGTTACATCACCACCTACAACTAGAATATGAACCAGTGTTGACACATTTCTTCTTTTTATGGGTTGAGAAGATGACACATACTTTTTTCTCTCCAGCTACATTTTTGTCTACATTGAAAAATGTATCTTTGTACAAACATTATGGTTTTGCTCATTTATTTAGGCAATAAGGTGTCAAAAAATCAGCTGGTACAATGGCCCAGTTATGACTGGTACTGTTTTTGACAGACCTATTGAAATCAATGAAAAAATAAAAATAAAAAAAAATTACTTGTGAAAATAAGCCAAGGTGTTTTGTTCTTCTTGGGTATCTTTGCAAATTATTTGCACAATATATAAACGAATCTTGTCTGGACCTGAAGTAACATCATGCAGCAGCATATTAGGGACGGTTGTAAATGTAGAAGGTTTATAAGACTCTTAAACATGAACTTCTTGGATTTTATTGTTTGCCAAATTAGAATTTTGAAATTTGAATATAAAATCTTGTATATTCAAATCTGTTAATAAATGTGAAAGTGAACTTTGAAGGGGGTAAGAGTTTTTTTTCTGTTTAGGTCACCGATTATGTGTCTTTAAACTGTATACTTAAAAACCATATATCATGTGGCCTAACCATTGGAGAACATTTTCCAACATATGCATCTCATACATTGGCAGATTCTTATCGCATGAAGAGTTAATGTAAAATATTTTGTCATGTAATCTAAAAATGTACTTTATAGGTTAACATCTAAACATCTAACTTTTTATTGTAGTCAAAAATGTTTAATACAACTGAATCTAACTACAATTAAAGTTCTTGATTGTTTTGATGTTACAAAAAACATAAGCTGGGAGATGAAATTATTGCTCATGTGCCTTTCTATTTACATTAGTAGCCGCATTTGGGTCTTCAGTTCAGTCTACTTCTTTTCATCATTAAATCAAAAATTGACAGTGTGCCACATTTTATTTTGTGTCATAGATATCATTACAGAATGAGAGCAGAAGAGAAAGAACACTACTTAAACAGTTTTAAAAAACATTTATTCTCAATGTTGTACAGAATTTATTTTAAGCAGTCTTTTCATTATTTGATGTGAACATTTATCACGTGGCATAACCAATGTGGAGTCCAGCAGGATTTGAAGAATACTTAGTCAGGACCACTGGTTCAAAATTGAGAGTATTTACTAGAGATCAATTACACAGGGTAGTAAATGAAGAGAAGAACCCCTCCCTTTTCTTCAGTCATCTTTTATACTCTTTAATAAGAGTGTGTGCCTACATATTCTGTGTTATGTGCGTGACCATTAGCATACCATACCGTACTTTCCCAGCCAATATCTACGAAAAAGCTTGAACATTACCAAATACTGTATGTGCATTTTACAATACAGAGTAAAATGGTACACCACATCAGCATTACAGTTATTTCCATGACTGTATTAAATTTTAAAATAAAAGTTTTTGGAAAAAAACAAAACAATATATGGCATATAACATCATTTTTAAAACATTTTCATTTTTGAGGCTTTTAGATCTGTAAACTACATGAAGAGGGAGCCATTATGAAACAAGAGTAAAATGGTACACCACATCAGCATTACAGTTATTTCCATGACTGTATTAAATTTTAAAATAAAAGTTTTTGGAAAAAAACAAAACAATATATGGCATATAACATAATTTTTAAAACATTTTCATTTTTGAGGCTTTTAGATCTGTAAACTACATGAAGAGGGAGCCATTATAAAACAAATGTGAGATCAAGGCTTACAGAAATATATACCATAAAACAAAAGCTAGAAATGTTTTCTTAACATCTTTCTGTAATACTGATATGTTGTTAAAACCTCAAGCACAGTAAAGAAATATAGAATATAGTAATTAGTAAAAATAACAGTTCACTGACATTGAATCAAACATTGATTTTCAAAAATATATTTTGTAAAAAAAAAAAATAAAAAATGCCCATTTAAAAACTCAAACTAAAAACGCACTGCATTTACTCCAGTAGAAACCTACCCTTTGCAAGC